TTTTTTGATGTAACAAGAAACTGATCGAGTGTTGCTAAGCATTGACAAGTTAATAATATGCCAGCCCAAGTAGAAAAAAAGTAATATCGAGCTTTACACCATACGATTGACATTCGAGTCAAGTCAATACCAAAACCAACAGTTACTAAACGTAAGCCAAGAACAACTAGAATGAGAAGAAAATCATGCACAGATGCAATGAGAAAATAGAATGTGCATGGAGTTGTTCGATATTGGCGATCCATTGAAAATATCAATAGAACCATGAGATTTCCAAATACACCCATTATAAAAAGAAGCAAACCGACGTATAATGTATATTGTTGGGCAATATAAACTAAAGACACCATGTTGATTGTGATATTTAGATATAGTTTTACAAAGAGATATAAGAATCTCAATGGTGATCAATCTGATACGATTTATGAATATAATATACTGAAAATGATTCTAGACTCAGTTTAGTGTATGCTCTGACAACAGAAAATGAATCAATATAAAAAATATCTTTCCATTCTTAGCGCATTAACGCCTTGTTGGATACGTCTGAAAGCATGTTGTCAATTCTGCTATTCATGTTTACAGAATATTCGGTCACCTGATATTCTGTGTGGCATAGACTATTGAAGATTTTATAATTTTGGCATATCTGCTAGTTTCCAGTCGAATCTTGTCATCTACTACAATTATATGAATCAGGTAATATTTATTAAATCGTGAAATAAGCATCAAAGAAGCTATATAGCATGGACTCTTTACGGCCAATATGGTTGTGTTTCCAAAGATAATTGATCAGAAGAAAAGAATCTGTTCTATTTATTTCTACATGTCGTTTTTTAGTGGGTCTCGTTATTTTTCATTTTCTTAATTATTTTGTTAATCGGTCTTTAATAGCATTTTGATCATTGATTTAATTAGCAAATAAGCCGGTTATAAATCTGTCTGATATTCATAGCAGGTGTCAACACACTATTATGCCTTTCTTGATAAGCTCATAAACACTGATATCGTTTGTTTTGGAAAGCTACAGCTTGATCAATGCATCACTACTCATCATCATTTACATCTTGAATATAGATTTTTATCAGCATTATTAAACACATTAACAAACGTATTCTAGCCGTTTAGTTTCTCAGAAAAGCTTCACAATGGTCTAATGTATTAAAAAACCCTTGTCGTTGATGCTGGTCAGCGTCTTTTTCCATTGATAGAGAACTCTAGAAAAGAGTCTGACCCCTGTTTTCCCGCAGCTGCTAAGATCTACTATGAAAAGGAGAAAGCCGTGAAACTTCGATCTGAAAATTTCACTCAATTTTTTTCTTCGGCAATATATGGGAATTGCGTAAAACTATTATGAACACTATGCAACTATTTATTGTATGCTTGAGATTTATTCAGGTGTTTCGAACTTTACTCGATCATAATGAAAGAAATATTTCACAAAAAAATCTGAGAAGCAATTAATATTTATTAGAGAAACAAAAAATATACTCGATGTTTATCTCATAAGTACTATTGGCTTCTCTAATGTCTTTTGTGATATGTTTAATCGATAATGATCCAATAAAACTCAAAATATCTAAATAAATTTCAAGTATATAAAAAAAGTAGTCGCAATATATTTATAACGCTTTTACATCATTTTCCATTTGTTAATTTTCTTTTTCTACAAGAAAGGATGATCAAGATGTAGATTAGAACGCATGACTACTTACTCAACATATCAATGAGCATTGAAACGTGGTCTAATATATTTGGACAGGACTCTTTGTCAGAATAGTGGACATGCATTACAATCACAAAAATTCCTTTCATGAGCGATTAGTCAGGTTATAACATTTAGCAAGCTTATTCGTACGTGATGCATGTCAGTTGATGACGAATGTCAGAATCAGTTTGAGCCCGAGTATAATCGATCACGTTTTTTAACAGTTAAATCTTAATTAGACAGTGCTACTTCTTTACGCTATCTCAAAATGAATATGGTAGATCACACGTAATATTTGCATATTATAAGATAGCATTATCAGAATAGAACATAAATACATATCCCATGTAAAAAAAAAGGTTATAAGAAAAAGTTAAAAGTCAGATTGAAAATCGATTATAATGGCACTATTATAATCTGATTTTAATCAGATTTCCCAGCCTTAAAAGGCAAATTTTATTTGATTTAACCCTCTTTAATCTATTTTAAGCAGTTAAAAAACTTTAATCAATTAAAATCGATTTTTCATAATAAATTATAATTGATTTAATTTTAATAATCAATTAAAATAGATTAAAAAAGATTAAATCAAATAAAATCTGTCTTTTAAGGCTGACAAACCTGATAAAAATCAGATTATAATAGTGCCATTATAATCGATTTTTAATCTGATTTTTAACCTTTTCCTATAACTTTTTTTTTACATGGGATATATCCTGTCAAAATGATAAGATATGCACGTTGATCAGATGAAAGTATTATTATCATTTATTGATAACAAATGTGAACAGATCTTTGCATTTAGACTGTTTAACATGATGAATGGTTAGTAACTAATCCAATAGAAAATCAAGACGGCTACATGGCACTTTTCGATGCTACGCATAGACTATTTTAATTTTGAGACGTCCCAACAATGAACCTAAATGACTCACTAAATTGCACTTCAATCATGTGTCATTAAACAATAGGGTTTTGGCTGCGACAGAAAAAGATCTGTCAGTGAGAATTCTCACAATTATATACAAACGTAAAGTGGATATTTGAATCACGAACAAGCAGGGTACTACTCGTCCCGGACTGGTATCTTGCCGTTCGTGCTAGCGGAAGCTGTCGAAAAAATGCTGTAAGTTAGAATAAAGACTAAAATTTCTTTTTATTACAAGAAATATGTAAATATATATATTCAATTATAAGCAATTTAATACGTTAAATCATTGTCTCGGTTGTATTCCACCACAATAAGGTTGTCACTGGAAGGAGCTTGATGACCTAATCGCCAAAAACAAATCCATCGTTTAGTCACTTGACGAAAACGACTCGAAGCAATTAAGAACAAATAAAATCTTGCCTATTCAAATATAAAACATCAATTATATTATTTTCTTTTACTTCATACATTTCAAACACTTACAGAACTTCCCAAATATGCTAGAAGAGCAATCGTCGATTGAAACAAATATTCTTTGGATAATAGATCAGCATTCTTCACCATTTCATATGTAGCAAATGTATAAATATTCCAGCCACCATTAAATAGTCCACTTAAAATCACTGGAAAGATTTTCAAACAAACCATGATTGTCATTTGACGATGTGCATTTTGTTCACTCAATGCTGTTGTTTGAGATATATTTCTATATGCTAGAAATCCGAATATGGCCAGAAACACACTCGGCAGCACACAGAGACTAACCAAACCAAAAAAGATGACATAACGAAGAAAAATCGGATTGATGTAGATGCAGGTGCCAGTGATCGGTGATATATCTTGATAGATCAACCATGGTATACCATGCAACCACCAGAAAATAAGTGTTACTATAACAGCTCGATGAGCACCTTTTATAGTGCTCATACGACGAAGACGAGCATTTTTTGATGTAACAAGAAACTGATCGAGTGTTGCTAAGCATTGACA